TGTTTCTGAACTATAGAAGAGAGACAGAAAGAGTTTTCTTTTTAAACGTCCCACATCTTTCACACACTCTATTAATAAACGTAATTTAATAAATATTTTTAGATGGTAAAAGCAGAGAAATATGTTTCCTTTATCCTGCTTTGCTTAGAGTAGCCGGCTTGATCGGAGTGCTTAGGTTAGTAAGCTAAACACTCTGCAGATTTAAGTAGACTTAAATCTCATTCCCAAATCAAAGTTTAGACTTCAGCCCTGATTAGAAAACAATAAAAGTAGACAGCAGCAACTACTGTTTGATCATGCTTACCTCATTTGTCTCTACCTATGGGAATAATGAATACCAACATTTATTTCTAAATGCCACTGAAGCAAGCCCATTTACCTCCCGTGCCTCTTAAAAACATTTCTATGAAGTATTTTATTACACTGAAACAATAATGCAACTGATTTATGCATTTACTTAATCATATTTAGTTACTTTAAAGGGGTGATAGAATGATGCTATTGGGTAGTTGGTGCTGGTCCTTAAGGTCTCTGAATAAGGTGTGTAACATTGGTTGGGCTGAAAATGGCATATTAGCTGTTCTATGAACCCTAATGCAAACCTGGTTAAAAGCCCTAGAATGAAATGACATGTTATCTTCCTTTTATGGTTTGATCATGAATATTTAGATGAGCTGTGCTCTGATTGGTTGGTTTACAACGAGCAAAGCTGCTGATGAAAGTCGCATCATAGCAACAAGCACTCACTCACTGAAACATCAAACTGTTGATATGATAGGGTGACCAGACGTCTCCTTTTTCCCGGACATGTCCTACTTTTCCTACCTGAAAAAATGTCCGGGGGAATTTCAAAATTTTGGTCGACTGCAGTGCAGCAGAACCGAGCCGTCAGGTCCGGGGCTGGTCCGAAACCCCGGCGGAGCGGGGCAGGGAGACGGCGTCAGCCGGCTACCTCTATTGTTGTTCTTGGGCCAGTGAACCAGTGGGCTGGTCTGTATTTAAATTTCGGGGCGTGACAAAAGTACAGGCCAGAACCAAATAAGGCAACAGCCCAGAGTTTCATTTGGATTCATCCATTTTATGGTGAAAATTTAGAATTGTGAGATTTGCAGAGAAAGGAGGTTTCGATGGGGTTTGAACTTCTCTGTACGTCCATTCCACCCACTGAACTATCGTTATTCATCTATGACAATGAAAACTCGGTTTCGGTTATCGGTATCGGCGAGTACCAACAAATAGGGCACCGATACCATTTCTAGAGCCAAAAGTTTATTCAACTATTGTCACCTATTCCAGGTAGGCAATAAAAAATTCTACAGGATTCACTTTGTATTCAAATTTTTCCTGCTTCACAAAGGAAGGCAGCAGCTTGACATGAAGCCATGATGGCGATTATTTTACATCCAAGTAGTATGCAGTTCTTAATATATACACACACACATCAATTTCAAACAGATGGTATCGGTATCAACGAATAATGCACAGCCAGGTATCGTTACCAGGGACAAAAAATACAACACTACTATAACCCAGTACTGTTCCCCAGGCGCCACACAATGGCAGCCCACCGCTTCCCAACGGGATGGGTTAAATGCAGCGGTAAATTTCTCCAATGTGAGATCATTAAAGTTCAAATATTATTATTGTTATTATAGTGTTGCTATTAATTAGAATATACAACTTGGAACCTGATTTTTAACAACGTGTTTCCCTGATACTAACAAAAACACAGTGAAAAGTCCTTTGTGTTGTTCTTTTTTTTTTTTTTTTTTTTTTTTTTTTTGAGCATCAGTGGTACAATCTATAATTTCCATACAAGAGGCATGATACTCATATTTATATTTTAACCCCCCCATCCCGACAACCGTTTGGACACCAATCTAGCAGGAGTAGATAGTTAAAAGTAATACAAAAATAGACAATAGCTAAAAAAATAAAAAATAAAAAAATGTGTTGTTCTTTTTAATCAATATAAAGGTTTAGCTAATCATGAACTGTGTTTTAAAGAATCTGCAGGCATTGAAAATGTTTCAGCTGAGGTTTGATGACCACTTTGGAAAGATGCTATCAAGATGCCGATGTGTTTTGTTACCCAGCTACATGCTGTTTAGACCAACTTCTTTTTTGACACAGAACAATACAGGTGGTAACTTTTCCAGTGCTAATTGAGCCAATCAAAGTCATGCTAACAGAAACCTGTGATAAAAATAAATTTAGCAGAGAAATACCATGCAATGAAAAAAATGTAAATCTACTGTATATTAAAAATTTCTTCTTAAAATAGGTGCATTTTTTCTTAAGGTTGAGGAGGCAAGTGAAACACTTTTCCTATGGAACAAGAAAATGTACATTTAAAATGAGAAAAAAACAACTGCATTGTATTATTTCAAGTGCATGTTTTCTAATTATCTTGTTTTAAGAGTAGAAATCCTCATTTCATTGGCAGATAATCTTATTTTTCTACTCATATTAAGAGTAAATACACTTAATTTAAGACATTTTTACTTATTTCTAGGTCGTTTTTGCTGTGTGGTTGTTTAATCTCACAATATCTCCTTCCACTCCTACTGATACCCAGTCTGAGCAGAGATGAATTTTAAAACAGCTTTGTTCCTTCAAAAGGTGAAGCAATATTTTTCGTCCACGTATAAGAACATATTTTAACATTCAATCTTAATTGACAATGAAATCCTCATATAGAAAGCTGCTACTCCTCCTGGTTTTGTATTTACTGCGGTAATACGCAGACCTTTAGCAGTTTTGTTTTTTACTTCATTTGAACATTGACAAAGAAAGAAAAAGTGCAGCTGGCACCTCACCACCTGTTGCACTGCGCAGGTTACATCACCTGGCAACAAATCATTCACAGGGATTTGTGAGTCTTTACAGGAACCAGCAGATTATAATAAATCAAAGATTAACTTCTAACAAGAGTTATGATTTCTGCAAAGTTGTACGGAAAGACAAAACCTCAAACAAATGAGATGTGCTCTAAAAGCTTAGCACCTCAAACACTTAAAGCGTTCCCACAGATGTTGCAGTAAACAACGACGCCTTCGCTGTGGTCAGTTCAGGCTCTGAGCCAATGCTTGGCCCCTGTGGCAATCAGGGTCACCTCAGGGTACTTAGTACACTCAATGGCTGCCTTGTTGGCAAGTATGGTCAACAAGGATTTGACCTTATTCTGAAAAGAGTTCTCCAGCTATTCCATAAAGCTGCTGAGGCTCTTAATCACTCTGCAAACGGAGCGAGGAGATCAACGAACACTACTGTGGCTTTGCTCTTAATACTGGACAAGGGAGGATCCAGTTCTGGCTGCCTGATACATGAGAGGCTGCAGATTTTCCTGCATTAATTACCCAATCTATCGGATTTCCGCATTTTCTGAATCAGATTAGCCTAACTTTTTCCAAAGTTTTTGCCGTTTTTGAGGCTCTGAACTTCACATAATTAAAGAAATCAAGATTTTTGTTCCATCGTTTTTTGTAGTTGCATGTTGTAATATTATTTTTCTACTTCTCGAGTGTGCAGACTGCATGAATGTCAGCTTTCATGCCGAGTGGCCCAGAGGCGGAGGGGAGGGAGAGCAGGAGGTTGCTTCTGTTCGTCACGGTTAATGACCATCTGACTTTGGCCTTGAAGTCTTTCACTGTAGAGAAGGAGGAAGCGAGAGGCAGCAGAAGGGAAGCCCATTCAGTATAAGGGGGAGCCGTGAAGTGCGGGGAGGGGGCAACCACAAGAGAGGACGGACGGATGGATGGAAGAAAAGGGCGAGGGAGGGAGGGAAGTTTTAGTGTGTGTGTGTTCACTTGCTGGGGAGTTTTTTAGAAACAGGGAGGGTGAGAGTGAGGGATGTGTGCCGCAGGGTTAGTGAAGGATGATAATTCACCGTTAAGCCTCCTAGAAAGACCAGCTGGCCCCTCTGGAGTCAGATGTCAGCCTCCACAGCCAGGACTCGATCTGCGTGCGTGTGCTTGTGTGCGCTGGCGCTCATGCATGTATATACACTGATGTATGCGTGCGTGCTGTCATCAGTCAGAGCCCTTGAATGCTAGAAGGAAAACACCTGCATGGGGAGCTGTAGATTTTATCAGTCTAAGCTCCCTATCTCTGTGACAGTGGGACTGGTCAGAAAACACACACACTCACGCACACAAGCATGCAAATGCACAAGCACCATCTGCTTGCTAGTTAGGGCTATTGTTGTGAGCCATTTGGGTAGTGTGTAGAGGTTTGGCTTTGTGCAGATCTTGACCATCAGTTGGCCAGCTGGCCTGACTTTGCTTTTCCACTCGGTTGCAACAGAAAACAGGCCAAGAGAGAACCCAAACCAAACCAAGCGGCTCCAAAACAAGCTTGTTAGCACTTTCAGCATCAGTAAATCTACCTAATTTTATAAACAAACTGTCAATTCATTTTTCAATCGGTCTGGCTGTGGAGCACCCTAACAGATTTTCATATGTTGATAACATGCCACTCTTTCTAGCTTAAAGTACCCCCCTTTCCTGCCTCCTTTTTCCTCACTAATCTATACTAGCCAGGTCATGCTGAGTTTGCTGTGCTTCCTTGTGAAAGGGCTGAATTATTCAGCATTGTAAGTATGTGTGGATCTGCATGTGTGCGTGCACACATGTGCGCACACGTTAGCACAAGTACAGCTGGCCTGCTGGTTCCTTTTAATCAGAGGACGGCCAGTCTGCATGAATGCCTGCATTGTTGGGTCATGTGTATTCAGGACCATTGCGTGTGTGATTTGTGTGTGAGTGTGTGAGTGTGTGTGTGTAGAACTCAACAGGAGTATCAGTGATTATAGTGTCTCAATGTGAAAGTGCACGTCACAGGATCAGTGGGTCAACAGCTCTTAATCAGCCACTAAGTTGTTTGTGTGGGTCATATGATTTCAGCTGCTGATTGTTTTTGAGAATATGCAACAAATCGTGTGTGTTTGTAAAGGTTAAAAGTGTTCCAGTTTTATGTTTTCTGTCTCCTTTTGTCTCCAGGGCGAAACGAGCTGATAGCCAGATACATCAAACTCCGAACAGGCAAGACGCGGACAAGAAAACAGGTAACCACGGGAGTGTGTGTTCAATCAAATCATCATGACAGGATGACGTAGAGCAGGTACACTCTGTCATAATGAAGCCAAACCAATGAAAAGAAAAGCTGATGAATCAATGACAGAGGAAACATGACAGCAAATTTAAACCTGTAATTTATATTCCTCAGTTTTTAAGCCCTATATAAAACTATATATATATGTGTGTGTATATATATATATATATATATATATATATATATATATACATATCGACTTACTACCCATAATTATAGCAACTGATCTAATATATTACTAACTGATGTAAAATTGAAGAAAAAATTAAAAGGTTTGCAAATTTTGGCGTCTCGAAGAGTAAGATAAGGAAAAACGTGTAAAATACAGAAACTACAAAAATGTTGGTAGAAGGAACATTCTTTAAGTAATAAAATGTAAAAAAAAAAAAAATCAATAATTACAGTAAGAGTAGGTAAAACTTTGAAATGACACGGGAGACCCAGCAGATGGAAAATAACTTTCAGCCACAACCACAAAGCAGACTTTAATTGGAAGCCAACTAAACTTAGTCTTTCCTGAAGACGTTTCGACAAAGGTTCCTGGATAGGTGTCGTAATGTCTTCAGATAAACTGCGAAAATACAGTTTAGGGCTGCAATTAACGATTATTTTGCAAATCGATCTGTTATTTAATTTTTTCAATCAATCGATTGATTATCCGATAGCCAAAGGTTCCTTGAAAAATATTTTTTACCAGATTAAACCAAGTGAAACTAAAACTTTTCCACTGGAGGAATTCTGGATTGAGCATATTGACTGACAAAAAGTTTTATTTTAAATGCAAAATGTTTATTTGATATTTTTTACAATTTTGCTATATTTACTGTTCTAAGTGGGTCCCTCTGTCAGCTAAAGGCACATTTTAAAGTCTCTATACTCCAGTCTAATCGATTACTAAATTACAAAGATGGGAAGTAACGAAGTACAAATACTTCGTTACTGTACTCAAGTAGATTTTTCTGATATTTTTACTTTACTTTACTACTTATTATTATTTTTCACGTCATCAATACCAAATTCAATCTAATTGGATGGGAATCTACGTTGCATTTGACGCACCACTACAAGATGAATCNTTACTTTTACTTGAGTAAAGAAGTTTAATCAGTACTTCCACTTTTACCAGAGTATTTTTTAACACAAGTATCTGTACTTTTACTCAAATACGGAAAGTGAGTACTTTTGCCATCTCTGCTAAATTACAGTAGCTGATGATTTTTTCAATTATCGATTAATCACGATTAATCTGATTTAATTTTTTCAGCCCTAATCCGGTCGTCTTCCAGTTAGTCGGTTTTGTGGTCACCATGACCCAGATGACGTAGAAGTTAACCAATAAGCCTCGAGCACCAAAAAGAAGAAAGTTTGTCCCTCAATGGTGCATATTGGATTAAAACAAGATTGTTTTCCTTTGGTGAAGTTACTCAAAATGGATGGAGCTTCCAAAAACCTTACTCAAATAAGAGTAATGATGAGTAATCATATTTTTACTCAAGTAAAAGTAAAAAGCACAATGTTTGTAAAACTACTCCTAAACGTAAATCATTCAAATAGTTACTCAAGTAATTGTGAGTAAATGTAACTAGTTACTTCCCACCTCTACCTTTAACCCACCCATCAGTGATGTTGAGGACAGTCTCTGTTTCTTCAGGCCTCTTTGTTTCTAAAGCTGAACCTGAATCAACACCAAGAGCTACAGTATGCTATTAAACCAGCCGCTCCTCCATCTGGGTAGCAGTTCATATTACTGCTAGGCTAACGTCAACATGTTTTCTCTCTATTTAGATAAGCCTTATTGATAATTCCCTTTACATAACCTATAGGGAAAAAAAGATTAACAAATGTATTTTTTTCCTTGGTGTATTTAAGTTCATTGGGCCAAATTGTGATGGGAGCTTTATCACAGCTGAGTTTAGTCTGGTATTCTCATATGGATAGCTTACAATTCCATAATAATGGAGACATTTATACTGGATTATACTGGGACAGCCTGGGTTTGTAGTACCTAGTTTTGCTCCTACAGATCACAGGTGGTTTCCAGGTTTTATGCAACATGAATCAAAGTAACGTTGCAGGTTGTTCCTACATATTAGTGGCACCGTAAACAGTTTTTGGGGCAGGACCTAATGTTGCAGCAAAACCCAGATCTTGGCCTCTGTTCTCAGGTGTCTTTCTGTCCTCTCAAAAGATGTGCATAGATGGGTCTATTCACTCTTCTCAGGGGAGTGCATTGTATGAAGTGTGTGTCTGTGTGTGTACTTCCAGTAGAGCCACAGTCCTTTCATAACCATGGCAACTCTCTGTTTGGTCTTTCCTCCTCCTTTCCACCCCCCACCCTCCCTTCTCTCCTCTTCTCTCTGCTCCTTCTCTCCTTGCCAGGTATCCAGTCATATCCAAGTCTTGGCCAGAAGGAAATCCAGGGAGTTCCAGTCCAAACTAAAGGTATGGGGAGGCTGATCAGAAGCTGTAGGATTAACGTTTTGTGGTTTGGTGATTCATTTCCTGTTACAAGTTTTGTGAACAGGAAGTGTTGTTTTACAATCCCTGTTTGTTTGGAAGAAAAGCAGCTGGTAAGTAAAGATCAGGCATGATGACTGCCGTGGATGGACAGGCTGAAACCCATATATATAGATATATATCTCTCCTTAATGAACAAGAAGAATCTAAATTCAGTGTTTGTCCCTTGCTGTGACTGGAGGGATGCCTGTCACAGTGACTCCTGTATCCTTGGTGTCTAATTACCCCCTGTTTGGGTTTTCTCCTCCTCCTCCTCTTCCTGCCATTCTTCTCTTTCCTTGCATTCATCCAATTCTTCCTATTCTCTTTCCTCCCTTCTTCTTACTGTCTCCACCTCTCAGTCTATTAATCTTTTACTCTGCTTGTCTTGTCCTTTTTTCTTTCTCCTCGTCGGCTGTAATTAACTTTATTTAAAGCAACAGAGGAGAGCTTGTTTTGCAGAGAAGGCCAACAGGAACTCTGAGTTGATGTTTGCCATTATAACATTAATGACGAAGGGCTTAACAAAGGCCAGAGTAAATGCTTTTTGAGTTGATGTACGCTGGAATCTCAAAAGTCTAGACAACCCTGTTAAAATGTCAGTTGTTTTTTGGAACCTATATAAAAGTATTATAATGGGTCATTTAAAAAACCTTTACCTTTAAAGCCACCTGTTCCTTTTGGAAAAAAAAAACAAAACCTGCTTGATACAAATTTGACTGGCATTTCCAGTTTAGTTCCAGCACAGAGCTAATGTAATTCTGCTGCTTATTTTTGGTTATACAAGGTCAGTATTTATTTACATTTAATGTTGACGGCTCCTAAACGGGCACATTCACTTTTATTTCTCGTAGAAGAAGATAGGTTTAATAATTCCTCTCCCTGCTACGATACTGAAACCGCAGAATAATTTTCAGTGGCCATGCAGGGACCAATGTGCTCTGAGGGATGGTGCGAAACTGACAGGCACCAAAACCAGTTCAGGATTAGTCTAAACTAATCCCAATAAGACATTAAACAAGTCCAACATCTGTATTTTCAAAATAAATCACGAAAGATAGAATAGATTTTATGTAATCCCTACTAATAAATGTACACGTTTGAGCGACTTCTCCATAAAACACAAAAGCTAACTCTGAAAATGGCATAAATTCTCTATTTGTCATCTCTATTACTGGTATTTTGAATTGAATTATTAACAACTTTTTTGTTGTCAGTTCAGGGTTAATATACTGTAAAAAATGTTAAAAAAGTCCACTTGAGAGTATCACTGCTGCCACCCTCTGGTTTAGAGGGGAACTGCTGGTTCTGCAGGTGGTGACTGACGTCCACACGGTAACAGAAAACCCTGACATAAGCCTCCTTTACCATACCCTTTTGAAACCGTGCTGAAAACGGTCTGAACACGGTAACCAAGATAACTGTTGAGTGTAAATGGAACGCAACTGAACTGGACTGAGCCAAACAGAACGGAACCGCGTTAAATCTAGTACCAGTTCAACAGTAGGGCTCGGCACGGTTCAGTTGTGGCTCAGTGCTCTGATAACAAAGAGCATGTGAGCAGACCGCATCATGGCGGGTTTTCCGGCATGTCCATTTTTGTAATTCTTTACCTGTTCACAACAAGAACTTTTTTCTCAGCCATTTAAAACTAAATTGCATCAAAAGAGCGTGGTGCGACCTGGGATGATGCCAAACCGAGGGTCTCATTGAAATTTGGGTGGAGGACGCTATTCAGGCACATAAGTTCCTGAATGTTATGGGCAGCTGAGAGCTGTAGTATCGTAGACCGCTGATAGGTGAGGAAGAGTGCTAACATGATGTGTAAATGGTCATAAGAACCAAGCTCAGCACGACATGATCCAAGCTTGGGCCGGATTGGCATTGATGGGTTTCATAGGGGTAGTGGGGCAATAGGGTGGCCTGGCCACCTGGTAGTATGATGAAATGGCCTAATGTTCCAACCATATTTAAAACTTTGTTGAATCCATGGCGGCAAACGTCAAACTTGACTGTGTGCTGCTGATACACCAATGCGGCACTTTAGTGTAGATGAAGGCAGATGTTCAACCTAGTTAGTGTCTGAGTGTTTCCTGCCATATTGCTGGGGTTGGTGGTCACAGCGGAAACTCCGAGCTCTACCTTTACAGCCATGCAGCGGCCTTCCCATCACCAGAGTGTGCCGCTTAATAACCTGCTGCTGCAGGGAAGGACTCCGGTATGACACCTGCATGAAGCCGGACCCGCTATTTTCACTGAGGTTTATGTGGCAGCTCCTGCAGGCGGAGACGGCGGGACTCTTTTATGACTTTTATGACACAGATCAGACTGTTACATCTCCAACTTTTCCTCCTTCACACCACAGAGAGCTCTCTGCAAGACGCTTCCTTTACAAAGATGGCAGCCCCGATAGTTCTGTCTGTGAAGCTTGTCTATAACCTTTTTTTTATATAGTTTTACAGTAGTTACACTATTGGCGCAGGGATTTCCTGTTTAGGAAATGTTATGTTTTCTATAGAGAAGTAAACAATTGTGGCCGAGCTAAAATCCTTCCGGACTTCGGTAGCGTGTTATATGCTATCGAGGAACCAGTTCAAAAGCATCCATTTGGAGCAAAAACTGAAATTTGTGCATCACCAAAACAAACACAATACTGCTGTTGGACATGGTGGTGGCACTGTCAACCTCTGGGGTTACGTCTCTTCTCAAAATCAAGGAAGATAAAATTATGAACAGTTCCGAGTTTTAACCCAAAACAAAGAAAGAATAGATTCAAAACAACAGATTAATGGCTCCTATGGAGACATTGGAAGGATTGAGATGACAGAGCAGGAGTGTAGGGGTTAACTGGATGGAAAACCGGTGGGGTCTCTAAAATGGAGCAGATCACCTCAAAATAAAAATGATTTCGCAATTTTATCGGATTTTTTTATTTGTTTTATGATTGAATTGTACAGGACATGTGCTCCTTTAAATACACAGAAAAAGGTTTCTAAATGATAACTTTATTCATTTTAATTACATTGCAAAACAAAAGATTTTAACACAGGCTTTTACATTTTGTATTTACTTTATATTAATCATACATGGTTGTTCTAAAACTGGTTGGTTATTCAGAGCTAAAAAATACCAATTTGCTGGATTTTTAACTTTTCCAATTATGCAAAATACAGATTATACATCACACAATCTAGAAGAACATCTATTAGGAAATCACTTGATTTTCAAATGTTTGATAGAGATCAGATCTTTTTTATTATGACCTGATATGTAAAATCCATGCAAAGTGTTTTTGCAGCTCTGCTTTATCATCTCAAATAAAATGGGTAAAAAATAAAATAAAATTGAATTATAAGCTGTATAACTCTGTGCAGGTATATGGAGTTCATTAGAAAAGACTTTTTGAAAAGACAAAAAGGTCACTTATTAGCTGAAGCTCTCCTGTTAAGAAAACGAATGTGATTCATCGACTCATCCTTGGTGTTTAATTCTTTACTTTAGGTAAATTATTGCTTTTAGACCATGAAAATAACCAGCTTTTGACATAAAATAAGTGACAACTGAAAAATTAATTTCTCAAACTATGATATTTTTGTTTGAAGCGTACATATAATATGTTTTTTTTTTTTTTTTAAGACCGACAGCTGGATCTTGGTATTTAACATGAAAATCCACCATGATTCTCATCTCAGTACCTTCAGTAATGTTATTATCTCTCCCAGGAGGGGAGATTTCTCTCTGTGCCAATTAACTTGAGTGAAGTTGCCAATTAGTGATTCTCCCACTATCACAGGGGTTCTAATTCTCTGTCATTCAGCCGTTTTGCCTCCATGCTGCTTTTACCCTGAAGTGAAGTATTTCTAATCCACAATGCGTTGCCTTTTACTCCAACAGCTGTTTCACGGTGCAGCGCTGAGCCAATCGAGCTTCATTGAGCAATTAGTGTTAAGCTGAAACCTTTCAGAAACATTTTAACTTGTTTTTAAAGAATATCTGTGTTTTTCTTTTTGGTTTGTTTCCAGTAATATGCTGTGCAGCCGTCGCACATACATAGTGTGATGCATGTTCACTGTGATGATTGTGTTTGCATGCAGGACCAGAATGCCAAGGAGAAAGCTCTGCAAAGCATCTCATCCATGTCCTCGGCTCAGATCGTTTCAGCCACAGCCATACACAGCAAGCTGCTGCCTGGAATAGTGCGGGCCAGCTTCCCCGGCAACGCGCAGGTAAAAACTAGCGCTTGCACTGAGACTAGTTGCATTTATCCCTAAAAAATAAAACTCATGGATGGGGATGGAGGTAACTGAATATGCAGAATCAGTCCTGCTGTTTTAGAGAAGAACACGAACGTTGCTTTGCATTTGTTTTTTTTCATTATTTCTTTTTTGCATTCTCAGCGTTGTGTATTAATACATGCATTTATTTTCAGCTGTGGCAGGGGATGATTCCTGGAGGGCAGTCCAGCTCCACCACGGAAGAGTGAGTCACATTTAAATGGGGCCTTCTTATCTAACTTAGCTGTTGATCAGTTGCTCCATTACGTTCCTTATTTTCAAGAGCCTTAAATTTTACTTGTTCCAGGTTAGTTAAGACATAATCGTTTTTCTCAATCAATAACTAATAAGGCAAGGCAAGGCAA